CAGGACGTCTTATGACACTTGCTGGGGAATGTCTACGTCACTCGCCAGACAGCAATACTTCTCCAACACAGAATTACGTTGTGATGAATTATCGAAAAAAATGGCAATCCCCAGACCAAGCGAGACCATTTCAAATCTATGATACAGATTAATTACTAATAACGCTTCTTTGCTTTTATTGCAGGGCAATGGCTTTCGCCTACCATATCCACAGTAAAATCTTCATTATAATTAGACGATTCAGAACTAGAGCCAGATGAAGATGCGGTATCGTTAGCGGAGAAAATACCAGAGGTGTTAAAAATTGGTTTTTTTCTAGCTTTGCACTTTCTTTTATCCTCGCATGGATCACGTTGCCGAGAAATATCTGGGTTTGCTATCGCGTTTATAATATCTTGCCGAATCTCGGGTCTTACTATTTTCATTAATTGACGAAGAGAAATCGAAATTCTTCTATGTGATATCTGTTTAACAATTTTAGATACTAGTTTTGAGGTATTATTGCCAGAGGCAACTGTTTCACAGCCATTATTAACCATTGGATTTAAATTGATTTGTTATTAATACACAAAAAATATATTATGTTAATAAATCACATCACGTTATAATGGGCCTCAGGGATGTGTTTTAAATCTGCGGATCAGAAATCAGCATAGAAGTTCGTGGAACATACAAAATATATTTACATGAAAATCTTTATTTAACCACTGATCAATGATATATTTACATTTTAAAACTGATATAATTTCTGCTATATAATTGCGATTATATCCCATCGGGTATTGGATCTTCCGCTTTCAATCCACGTCGGGCACGCGACAAGTCTAAAGAATAAAACAATAGATTATATTAATATTAATGTTATTTTTTAACCAACACAATTATGTCAACATTGCGTAGTGGAATACTTACCTATATGCCCTCTCCTACAATCGGTGGATGACGGTGGAACTCGAATCTGATTGGCTTTCGGTTTGTCGAGTCTAACCTGGCGATTTAATCCATGAGCATCGTTTAGGTCTTGTTGAGGGATTGCAAGAACAACCAATCCATTCACATCTCGCTCAATCCCTGCTTTCAGATCTTCGTATATTGAAGAAAAATCACGCTGATGGTGGAAGAACATACTGTGGACGAAATAAACGATACTGTGCCGAATCCCTCTAGTTACGGGAAAATTTCCATGAAGCAAAAGACGGGAAGAAAATGCTACGATTTGCCCAGGTCGGAGTGTTAACACAATTTCGAGTTGAGGGAAACAGAGTTCTCCACCTTCGAAGTCACCAAGGGCAACTAAACAACATATACTATTCACCTCATCATGTTCGTCCCAGTGGTAGTCGCTCATCGTATTAAAATTGATAGCGATCATAGGGAAGACGTCGAATGATCTAGGAGCAAAGGATTCCCAAGATAAATTTCTTAACTTCGCATACATATCTGCATAATTGCCGTGAAGGAACTAGTTGACAGCATCTGATAATGGTTTTAGGTTTAGAAGTAGATTATCAACACATTCCTGGTGATCTATATTATGGGAACTGGAGGTATTCGAGCTGGTGTAAGGAAAGATGTTGTACAGAGTGTATGCGCCGAAGTGTTCGATAAAGTTCTCCCAGAACCCATCGCTCCTATGCGAAGGATGATTTAAAGTATGATAATAGTATTCGTTAACGGCATTTGTTGCTTTCGTCACGGCGCTTTGATCATTGAGGTTTTCAAGATAAATCAAGGTTCGACCATCTATATCCGTAATACACTCTGACTTTGTAACATGACGAAATCCCACTAATTTTTCGAGCGATTGAAAAATATCTCGTGCTGATGCAATTAACTGGGTTCTTTTTTTTCGGGTGTGATGTACTGGAACAGAAACAGAACCATCCTGATTATTTCGAATATCCATGGCGTGTTGAAGCTTTTTCCATCGCAACCTCAAGTGTTCACGTACGTCTCTTCTTCGAATAGGAGCCTTCATCCCTAACCATTGACCAAAGCTAATCCACAAACGTTTTTTCTTACCAGAGGCGGTCTCTTCGAACATAACCGAGCTAATAATATCGGTATCTACCAATACTAGAAAATCGGAGGGAATATCAACTATTTCGAATTCGCCTGTATTGTTAGATCTCGCTTCTCGGATTAATGTTTCAATTAACAAATCCCGCGTAGTTATATCATGTTTTGTTTTTTCTTCTTTCGATGATATCCGATCCGAGGAAAAAAGAGGCGTACTCGTCCATTCATTTTCAATGTAATAGATTTTATCGCGAGTACATAAACCCCGAGTTGCAGATTGGATCCGATGCTAATAATAATAATATTTTAACGTTATTAAGATATACCTTCCCTTAGTGACAAAAAGATATAACCACAAAGTGACTGCTTCTAACAACGATAGGATAAAACAATAATAAGTTGTATTTTTTGCGGAGCGGAATAATTACCCTCGCCAAAAGCACGAGCCATCAACTCTAATTAGAGTAATTTGGTGATTATGCGTCTATTGCACCCCATAACTTGCTAGGCAAATCGCAACAATTGACTCAGATAATTCTCCTATCAGCACAAAAAGAACAATCGAACAAGAAATAGTATTTTGCTATATTAGATAAGGTAATAATGAACCTAACCCTTGACAGACCGAATACAATATCAAGACCGGTGGAGGAATTAGTTGGTACGTCGTCTTCTGGTACATAGAGAGTTTCAATTTGTTCGTGTCCATGTTCACGTTCCCATTTAAGCTTTTTATTTCTGCGTTTTCGGGCTCCCCGCGACAACTTCGTCTTCTTAGCTGATACCTCCTCCGACATTGCTTCTTCTTTCCGCTTCTTAGAGTCTGATGGGTCCATTGTAACGGTCTGTGGAAGATTGAATTGAAAAAAAAGGCTACGGTGTATTATTAATAAACAAAAGCAACACTATCCGACGAGCCGTTAGGATTTTATTCCTAGAGCCGATGTCCTACTCAAGACGAATAATGGATGCTTCTGCAAGAAAAAAAAAGCGTGGGAAGCAGAGGTAAGCAATCGTTGATAATCGGTAAGGGGTATATATCAGATGATAATTGATTGGCTGGAAATTATTTTTCGATCAGAGATATAAAAATGGAACCCCTATAGGTGCTTTATTTCATAAAAAGGAGCCGAGATTGCTGATGAGCCTTAATTCCTTGATTTTTTTTATGTTATTTTCGATGTATGCGTTGTGTTCTCCTATTAAAGGAAGTGAATCAGTTTCAATTGTGAGAGATCTTTTCGGTCCACTTATGGCTAAGACGTCATACAAATATATTTCAAAAAAGATGGATTAAGCAGATTGTTTTCTTATAATTGATCTAACATCTCTTGGGCCTGACCAGGATTCACATCGGGGTAATCTTCATTTTCTATATGTCTTTCTATAGAACCTTTCGAGAGTGGTGTCCAGAAATCACCTCTTTCAGTATAATATTCATCATCTTGCAAAACACCAGAGACCGATATATCTGATTTAAATAAAATTCAACTATATAAGCATTCATTCATATGTTTGAGTATATATAAGATTGGAGTTACTTACTACGTCTACGATTGGGATTAGGTGTCCTTTGGCTAGGTCTCGGATTAGGCGGTGTTGGGATGACAGGATAGACAGTCTTGGAAGCATTATCGTCACTGATTTGGGAGGTCTTACTTTTGTTAAGCATAGAGGCATTATTATCGCTGGTTTGAGGGGTCTCACTCTTGTTGATCTTGGAGACGGATGGATTATTAGTACTGCTCGTTTTCACGATCCTAAATACAGAATAACGGTAAGTATAAATACGTTTTATAATCTTAATTAAATAGTGATACAATAAATAATTTCGAATTAGCGATAAAAAAAACGTTATTGGTAACCCACCTTACAAGAGAAGAAAACGAAGTATTTATACCGCCCAGGGCCATTAAACCTATTCCAAAGCCAAACCCATTTTCGTTATTTTTTCGGTTAACTACTTAGCATGAATCAGGTTTTGCTTATGTTCGCATCCGGTAAAACACCCCTTAATTTGACGATCTCGTAAAAAGTCAATGATCGCGATGATCTGGGAAATGCCAAGTCATTGTAACATATGAACTTTGAATTAAACTACTAATGAGAAATGATAACCCCATTCCCCTTATGGTTCTTTTAAAACTAATTAGCGTTTTCTTGCCGGAGGTAGTTAGTGACTATAACAGTATCGCATTACGTATTTAATCGACGAATCAGTGATCGACGTAGAAGCTGGTACAACATAGATAATCGTTATTTTCCGCTTTATTTTTTATTGAAATTGCTTCCATATTAAACATACTTCTGCGATAAGAACAAGCGTAAACGAATCTCAAAAAGGCAATAAGGAAGGTTAGCCCGTCAATCTCTATTAGTGCGTATGTCAAGGGACTTATGTCTTGGGAAGTCGAAATCTCCGCAATCTCCGAGATCGTCGTGTACTTGCCATCTATATGAGTTGTGTAATCTATTTACATAAAAAGCCACTGATCCACTTAAAAATAAACGAAAAAATTTTTCATTTCTTTCCTGCATTATCTCACTTCAGCCGGAGGTCATAACGCATCGCATAAACCAGAATTTTTTTACGCCATATATCATATAAAAGATACCATGTCTTCACCCAGCGCTTCACCTTCCTCACCTATTTCTACATCCTCTACTTTGACGGAAGAAAGGTCAACTCGCACTATGGCAGACGTGGTCAAAAATTATAAGACGGAAGAACTTATAGATTATCTACAGAGGCGGGAAGATTTAGATCTTGTTGAGGCAGATTTCAAGATCCTACGTAATGAAAGGATTTCTGGCCGTGACTTTCTTAACACGTCTAAAGAGGAGTTTCGCAGTTATGGATTAAAAGCTGGCCCAGCAAAAAGGCTTGCAGATTTCATCGAAGAAATATCAGAGCAAAAATTAAGAAGCTTCTCGTCATATAAAACGTTGGAAGAGTTAAAGGATGTTCTTCGTAAATACAAGGTCAATGGTGAAGCATCAAACAATTCAGCCCGGGTATGTAGTATTTCGATAGGTTATTTTTTCCTGGCATTTCATTTTCCGGGACGGGCCGTCTCGCAAATTTCTTGGCAAAAGTGATCGGTGTGAAGAATTCTTCAGGCACATATAGATTATATGCTAATGTTTTTTCTATTATATAGTATTCGAGGAAATCGATGACGATGACAAAGCCCTCGAACAATGTATGAATGAAATAACGTTGAGGCTTTCGAATCTGGAAACGATGCAAGATAGTACCAATGAAGCCACGCGTTGTGTATTCATTACGTCTATATTAAATGCATCCCTATCTATTGTCCGACGAATATCCAAGAAGAAAAAATCTATATAGCATATCAAAAAGGAGTTTCCGGTGAAGAAGCATCTGGTCGTGTCGATTATACGATAAAAGGAAATGAAGATCTTATGCGTATAGCTGAAGGAAAACCCCGTAACGTCGAAATCGGTTATCTCCAGAACATCATGCAACTTGAGAGTGCATACCACACCAATAAGAAGAAGCGTACAGCGGATGAAGCTTTCAAGGATTATGATTACGATTATCTCTACGGAATAGTTTCTACAGGTACTTATAGATTTTAATATCATACAATTCCGGCAATAGATTTTTTGATTGTGCCACAGTCGATTTATAATTTATTTTTTTAGCCACGGAATTGCATTTCATACCGATGGGATCTACTGCACCAGTAAAAGTGAATATCGAATTAACCTCTCTAAAACGGCGCTTGAGGAGGATCTTGAATCAATTCGAAAAGGAGTAAAGCGGGTGTTAGGTGTTATTGTCGGTTTATTAAAAGATAGGGTAACAGTTGATAACTCTCCAGCCAGTAAGAGGACGAGAATTAAAAAAATTACCAAAAAATAGTGGGTAGTTAGTTTACCTGTCTCATGTATACAGCGATAACTGTACTATTTTATATCAATAAAAAAACTTTTTCCGAACATTTGCGTATCTCTTCTCATTGCTAAATCATAATCATTATTTCCATTTATTTATAACATTGATGCGATGAAGGTATAATTAAGATGCAATAATTTTTTCCTATATAATTGGGTGTCTCAGTTGAGTCGCGGTTGATGCGCGTTGGAATCTTAGTGATGGACTGATGAATTTTTTCGTCAAATTTAAGTTCGGACATGTGTAGTAATCACGTGATAGTGGAATTTTGAGCCATAATGCATTCTCGAGCTTGACGCAATCCGGATATCACGAGTCGAATTAACGCACATCGGATAATATGACGCAACAATCGATTTTATTGGCTGTGCCCCGTAAACAACGATGCCACCAAAACCGAAAAAGTCTCAGAAAAAAAAAGTTACAGGTAACGTAGAGGGCGTTTCATCTATTGTTGCTGGTACATCTGGCACATCTGGTACAACCGCAAAAGATAAAGGTGTCGAAATATTTGAAAATGTTCCTATCCTTCGATCGGAGCTATCTAGTGGTAGGTAAATTTATTATAAATATTTTTTATAGAGGAGTCACTCATTACCTTTGCGAAAAAATAGGTCTCGAGGGCTTTCACATAGGCTCCTCGTCAGCCCCTTCTAAAATCTGGGTCAAGTACGATGTCAGTCAACCAGTAAAAATTGTTTTCGATGGAGAGGATGTACATGACTTGAAAAAAGCGATCAAGAAAGAACTATCGAAT